ATATACGCACATACATATCATCTTAGATCATACCATAGCATATATTTATTTAGTTATGTACATGTATACGTATATGCCCTGTATATGTAGATGTATACGAATATGTATGTATAGATGTATATGTATAAGTATATTTATATGTGTATCTACATGCGGTCCTCATATTTTGTTCGGCGGCCGCAAGTACACGCATCGATTGAGTTATAGGATAATTGCGCCAAAACGGGGTTTTGACGACGACTCATGTGAGGACCGTAGGCTAAACATCAAGACAGGATCAGAAGCCCCTAAAGCCTTGGACCTCAAAACAAAACCCCCTAAACCCTAAACCCCAAAACCCTAAACCCAAACCCACCCCCCTAAACCCTAAACCCTAAACCGTACGCAAAGTCCTATTAAGGTACCCTGAAGTGGAAACCCTAAGTTCCACGCTGAGGCGCTGGCATCCCCGAAGAGCGTCAGAACCGCCGAGCAGGGTGCCGAGAGCTCTTTGCTGACGTCTGAAGTATAGCTATTACTGTACTATAACCACGGTTTAGGGTTTAGGGTTTAGGGTTTAGGGTTTAGGGTTTAGGGTTAATAACTGTTCATAGCAATAGCAGTCATAATCATAGTAATGGCAAAAAGTCTTATACTTATAATTAACAAGAATCAAAACAGTAGCAATCAGGGTTGGATAACAAGAATCATAATATCAGAGTAAGAGCGTAAGGTTTGCGGTCAGTCTGAGCAACCAGATAATCATGGCAGTCCTTCAGAAATTTTACGGACAGGTGGCAAGAGACGTGCATGAGATCAAGCATGCCAACTACAACCTTTACCACGAAACCTGGTATCATACATAACCCTTCAAAAACCACGACATCATGATTCTGTCAGGTTTCCTTGCTCGCCGCCGCCCGGTAGCCAGGCGTGGCTTCAGGGTTTACGAGTGGGGACTTGGTATATATGTTATGCTTACCGTAAGGAACCCTGAAGAATAGCATTAGTAGTTATCCAGGCTTCTTCAGTATGACATTCAAACCTATACCACAGTTCAGGGTGTCGGTGCATGGTTTCAGTATGCCTTTCAACATATCGTTACAGGACGCTACTTGCAGGTTTCAGCGGCTGCCAAGAGCTTCAACCCTAAACCCTAATGCCTTCAAAAGACTGCGAATCCTAAGGTCCCAAGTTCCAACGCTAAACCCACAACGTTTTATAACAATAAAATTAGTAAGAATAATGAGTATACTAGTAATGATCATCATACTAGTAATAACACTAGCAACAACGATAGTAACCGTACGGAGCCCTCTCTTCGCCTGGGGGAGGCGTCACCGCAGCGGAGCCCATGTACAGTGCCTGGGCTGCTCTCCGGGTTCCTTTAAAGGAGCCCTACAGACCCTACGGTTGATGATCTAAATCCTGCATTACCCAGAATAACAACGAATATACCATAATTCCTTGGGGTAATGCAGGATTTATATCATCAACAGTAGAAACCCTACAACCCCGTAGAGGAACCCTTAAAGGAACCCTTAAAGGAACCCTTAAAGGAACCCTTAAAGGAAGCCCTAAGAGTCCATAAAGGAGGCTTAGGAGCCCTTCAAGGAGCTCTAGGTTCCCTTTAAAGGGGCTCCCCTATGAGTTCGCGAAGGGCTCCTACAAGGCTTCCTTTAAAGGCTCCGCTAAGGATTTTTGCGAGTTGGAGGCGCTGAAGCCGAAGCGTATCGTCTCAGAAATTAAGCACTATACTAGTGAGTGCTTGTGGAATAGCACCAGGATGTGATAGAACTGCAACCAGGCGAACAACACATGCACTTATGCAGGAACGGGAAAATACGAACGGGGTTGCAGAATGTTTGTGGCAAGAAATGCTTCATAGCTGCGGAGTGGGACACCATCTTCAACGAACAGGAATGCTTGAACCGATCAATGCGCAGCGGTACATCTAGTCTCACGTGCCGGCAGCACAAGATGCACTTTTGAAGGCTCCCTCCCACGAAAACGGCGGTATAAACCTGACCCAGGTCCGAATTTCCTTCCTGCAGCCTCGAAGTTTCCAAGCTTCTTCTACACCTCTAGACTTCCTCGAAGCCGATATTCCCTTCAGGTTACTCTCTGCGACGGTGAGGGGTCGTCGCCAAGGCGCACGGAACCCCAAACCCCTAAACCGGAACCCTAAACCCTAAACCCTAAACCCTAAACCCTAACCCCCCCAAAAAAAAATCCGGGACCGGAGGTTTTGCGCTTCAAAGCCCAGGCAGATCCACTTGAGGCGTCGACTTCTAGTCCCGAGCCTCAGGGAGCCTCCACATTTCCCTAAAGGGTTTAGGGTTTAAAGGTTAGCAGAAAGGGGTTATATAAGGGTTCTATATAAGGGGTTCTCTAGGGGTATTATAAGAGCTCTCAGTAGTAGAATAGGTTACTTTCAACTTTATCAGGGCTCTCAGTAGTAGAGCAGGTTACCTTCAACAGTGTGGGTATCAGAACCCCTACATAATCTGAAAGGTTAACCTTCAAATCCCTTAGGATATTGGACAAGTAGGATTCAGGTTTCGGGCGTCGCAATCGCATTAACCAACGATTCAGGCTATTTTATCCCGGCTCCCGTTCAGGGTCCAACCCTAAATGGAACAAAATGAAACGCAAAAGGGCTTTCCTGGAAGTCCAGGGGGTGAGTCGCAGGTTCAAGCCCCAACCTGCATGCCAGCCTGAAAAACCTAAACTCCCAAAACTCAAGACCTTGCGCGCCCACGGCCTTTAAGACCTCCGGCAAACCCTTAAATACTGAAACCCCTAATCTAGGAGTCGGAGAAACTGCTAATAGGATCCCTTAAACAAAGTTTCATATAGGAAAAGCGACACCGCTGAATAGCAGATCAACATCGAAGAGCCCTGATGGCCAGGTCCTCCGTGGCCGACAGCGACTACGGGCTCTCCTCCTGGCAGCTCGAAACCTCCGGAAAGGCGCCCGAAACCCTAAACCCTAAACCCTAACCCTAAGCCCTAAACCCTGGGTACCTCTCCAAATTAGGGATCCTTCAAGGGATCTATTACCTGTATGGGTAGCTCTCTAAATTAGGGTTCCTCCAAGGATCTATAAGGGCTTCTATAGGGTTTCTAGAAAGGTTCTATAGGGGTAGTTCCCTAAAGTCGGGTCCCTTTTAGGGTCCTTTTTATAAGGGTACCGTACTATATTGGGGACCTCGAAAGGGGCCCTAATCTAGAGAACTACCCACATTCGAGGATTTGTTTTTACCTAGGCTTCTTGTGTTGAGCCTTTCTTGCCTTCGGGTTTAGGCTGTTGGCCTTTGTGGCGCTTCCTGCGTGGAGGTTTCTAACAGCAATGGCAGATGCCGTTGTGTATTGTGTCTGTATATATATATATATATATCCATATACACATATTATATATATACATATATATATATATATATATATGTATACACAAAACATAGACATGTATATCTGCAGATGGCATATAGAGTATATAGCATGCATGAATACCAACATGAGTGCAGAGCGCCTGTAGACCTTAAGAAGCTCTCGCGCCCCAACACCCTAAACCCTAGCCCTAAACCCTCTAGACCCTATGAGAGTCCCCTTCACAGCCCTAAAGCCCTAAGCCTAAAGCCATTCAAGCCCTCGAACCCCTCAACCCCAAACCCTAGACAGTAAACCTTAAACCCCTAAAGCCTAAACCCTAAACCCTAAACCCTCCAAAAAAACCC